TGCCTCCCGATCTTTCTGTGTGTTCCCTGCTGGACGGGGGCCCAGGCCCCTCGCCTATCTTACCGGTAGACCAGGGCCAGGATATTCAGCATGGTGGCCACGTCCGGGTGGCTGTGCCCAGAGCTCTTCTCCAGGTCCTCCAAGGCCTGCTTGCAAAGCGGCACCGCCACCTCGTAGCGCCCTTGAGACGCGTACTGGATCACCAGGTTGTGCAGCGTCCGCAGGCGTGCCGGGATCTCGTACCCGCCCTGCTGGGCTGCCAAGGCGGCGGCACCCGGGCTCTGCCCCTCTGCAGGACACAAGGCCAGCCGGGTGGTCAAGAGGGACGCTGGGTGGGCAGGCTGGGAAGAAGCGGGGGGCCCTCCGGAACCAGCCCATCCCCGGCCGGGGACACCTCCGGCTTTTGTGCAGTTAATGTGCTTCTCTTGGGCAGGGGCGCTTTGCAACCCGCGGCTGGGCCTCGGCCTCCGCGGGGCAGGCAGCCGTTTGTCAGGCTGAGCTCCACTTGGGAGCGGCTGAGAAAGCCAAGGCCTGCCTAGGAACACACCTGGCCTCTGGTCGTCCTCCGTGCTGAGGAAGGTTTCCTCCACCTCCACCTGCAAGGAGAACCTGGGAGAGTCAGGGGGGGCCGGGGGGGACATAGGAAGCTCCCCCCAATAGTAGGCTTTGGAGCCAGGGAGGCAGGATCCAGCCCTCGCCCTCCCCACCTCCTCCTCCTCCGCCGTCTCTGAGCACCCAAATAATTCGGACCATAGATTGGAGTCGGGGTCAAAGGTTCCTGGGAACCTTCAAAATTTCTTTCTGACTTGGATTCTTTCAGCCGTCAGCCACCTGACCTGGAGGAACTCAGGAGGCGCCTCGTCCACAAACGTCCCCCCCCCCCCGGGGAACCCCCCCCCCCGCCCCAGGCCGCACCTGCTCCTCCCGGGGGGCCTCGTAGTGCTTGAGCTGGTTGAGGAAGTGCAGGTGTTTGTTCTCCTCCTCCAGCTGAGCCACGGCCTCCACGCTGTGCTGGAGCCTCAGCTGGGTGCCGGCCAGCTCCTCCCGCAGCCAGAGGTTCTCCTGGCCCAGGCGCCTCACCTGGGCCCGCAGCTTCTGCTTCTCCGCCTCCAGCACCCCCATGTGCGAGGAGAGGGCGATCAACATCTGCGGGGAGGAAGGGGCAGCTCCAGCCACGGCGGCCTTGGCCCGCCGGAGACCCGCCAGAGGGGCCGTGGGGGAGCAAAGCGGGGACGGGGGCGGTGCAGAGCCGCAACACGCGGCTCTCAGAAAGCGACGGGAAAAGGAGGAAAATGGGAAAAGAGGAAAAGGGCTTTGGCTTCCTCCTCCTTTGGGCGCAGTAGAATAAGAGAGTAACGTTATTTTTATGTTTTGATCAACTAATTTTTATAGCTTTATTTCGATAAATGTTCACTGTTCTCTTGCTTGTGTTTGCGTTCTATTCAGTTCTCACATATTGGAGTTGGCTCGCGCTCTCCTCCAAAGCCCCCGAAGGCAGGACGAGAAGCAACGGACGGAAACGCACCAAGGAGAGAAGCGAGCCAGGACGATCAACCCGTGGAACGGCTTCCCTCCCGCAGCTGTGGGCTCTCCGCTGGACAGCCGCTTGTCCCAAATGGGGGGGGGGTCTCCTGCTTCAGCAGGGAGGGTGACTAGAAGACCTCCAAGCGCCCACCCCCATCCCCTCCTCAACAAATAAAGTGCTGAAAACCGAACAAACCACTTGAAGGCACCCGACACGACCCAGGGACGGTCAGGACAAATGGGCACCCTTGACCTTTCCTGGTGGCCCCTGCAAAGCGCCCCCTCCCCCCCCGGGAAATCCCTCCCCCAGGGCTCCTGGAGCTTCCCGGGGCTCCATGAGGTCACAGCCAGCCGAGCGGCCCCTGGCGGCCTCCCTCGGGGATCCCGGGGTACCTGGCCTTCAGCAATGCCCAGCTCAATGCCTTCCAGGCTCCGGCCGACGAGGTCCTGCTTCTCCTCCAGGAGCTCCAGGGCCTGGGCATCCGCGGCTGCCAGGGGGCCCTCCCTCTCGCCCATCAGCCGCTGCTCCTTCAGCAGAGCCTCCTGCAGCCGGTGGCGGATGCTCCAGTTCTCGCTGCGCAGGGCTTCCAGGCCCTTCATCACCTGGCGCGTCTGGAGGATGATGTCATCGCCCGTCACCCTCTCCGATCGGCTGTCGTCCAGGCCCACCATGATGGACATGGCGGGCCACGCTGGCCCAAGGAAGGAGGGCTCTGAGGTCCTGGCGTCTCGGGGAGCGGGGGAGGCGCCTTCTAGAAGGCAAAGGAGGAGCCCCTCTGGCAGTTGTCTCTCGTGGCTGGGAGCGTGTCCCCCACTCCAGGGGCCTCCAACCTGGGCGACTTTAAGACGGGTGGACTTCAACTCCCAGAATTCCCCAGCCAGCGCTGGCTGAGGAATTCTGGGAGTTGCAGTCCCCAAGTCTTAACCATGTCAAGTCGGAGTTCCCTGTTTTAATCCTAGACATGAAGGTTATCCGAGCCCTCTGCACATTCTCAGAGGCATTTGGGGTCTCCAAACCTGATCTTCTTTTACCCAGGCTCTATTAATCAGAAGGAACATCAGCGAGAGAAGTTGATGGGGTCGGGGGCAACTGAAACTTCCGGCCGCAGAATGCAGGAGCCCTTGGACTGCAGCCGGGTGGGTCTGGGAGGCTGTGCCCCCCCCCCTGGCCCTGGCCCTTTGGGAAAGCTGCCTGCTGGATCCACACAGCTGGATTCCAAACCAGTCTCTCCAGTTGGATGTCACCACCAGAAAGCAGGCAGCAACACGCTTCTTGGCCAAGCCTGTCTGCAGCCACACACCTGCCTCACGAAGGAAGACTCCTCGCCCGCCCGGCTTCCCCGCCTTTGAAGAAGCTGGGCTGGGTCTCCTTCGGCCCGGATCAAGGCTCCCCCGCCCTCCCCATGGGAAGGGCCACAACAGGCCACCAGGCAGCAGGGCTTTCTGAGGCTGTGCTGGGCGCAGGCTGGCTGCCCGGCCCCTTCAGCTGACAGGGATGTGGCTGGTGCGCCGTTTGGCCCTGCTGGCTGCTTTCCCTTTCTCGGTGGGCCTGGCCCCCGTTGGGCGCCTCTGTGCTTAATGCAGCTGGTGCAGAAACGCTGCCCATCTTCAGCGGGCAAGCCTGCTGCTTGGAGAAGGCCCCGCTTTGCCCTCGTCTCACCCTCCCGCCAGCTGCTGCCCTAGAAAACCTGGGTCCGAGGAGCACCAGGAGGGATATGCCGCTCCACGGCACTCTCGAAGCGGTTCACAGAGCCACTATCCCAGCGACAGGGAAGCAAAATTGGCCCCAGCGTCCTTTTAGATCCTGCCATCATCTTCTTTCCAGTTTGCCCTCCTTTTGCCTTCTTGCAACGTTTTTAGAAATAAAAACGTATACATAATTTGGAGGTCTGGCAACCAGAGCGCTACACAATAATACTCCATGAGAACACTTGTGGCTGGCAGAGGGCATTTCTCTTGTGCCACATCTGTCGAGCTGAACATCTGTTACATCAAACTGAGGCGCCAGTCTTATGTCTGCAGCCACCAGGGCAAGGATGCTGGTTTGTGGAAGCTTTCCAGAAGGGCCTCCGTGCCACCCCTGCCCTGGAAACAGCTGCAGTGCTCTTTCGGGGGGGGGGGGGGGGCTCTCTGAGCTTGGCTGTTCTCTTGTAGACATTTCCTGACCCAACTAGGGAACATTTTCAGTGCTAATATGATCAGGAAACTTGTTCAAGAAAACAGCCAAACTCAGAGAGTCCCCAGCACCCCCAGTTCAACACGGAGCCGCACGTATTCTCTTCTTTAGCCGCTGCCACAACCCGTGGATTCCCTTCACACTAACCCGGGCCCTGTTGAGGCAGTGCAAAGATAACCGTCATCGCAACCCTCTTCTGTGGCGGGGGGAGTGTTTTGCACAAAGCTGGATATTCTGTGAAAAGCTCCTTTCCCTCCCTTGTACGTTCCTCACAGACAAGCGCCTCCCCCCTCCCGCTCTCCACGGCGGCTGCCTTCTCCTCGGCAGGATCCGCCACGCTTCCCCGTGGGAGACACCGAGTGGAGCCTCTCCGCCGCTGGGGAGAAGTAGGCCGGCCCGATCTTGCCGTGCCGGAGCACCAGCTCAGCCAAGAGACGCGACGGAGTCTGGTCGCTCCCGAGGGACCCCCCTAAGCACGACCGTCTTGCGGATCCGTCCTCTCTCCAAAGCATGCGGCCAGCATTCTGCCCCGCACCCCCCCCCCCGGACATCACCTTCGCCTAGGGGCAGCGGAGAGCTCCTCCAGGTAAGCCGGCGCGGAAGGCTTCGGAGCCGGGGAGTCTGCGTGCTGCAGCTCCGGCAGCTAGGAAGACGCGCCCCGATTCTCCCGGGCAAGGCCTGGCCCGCCGCTGCCTTACCTGCCTCCCTCCCGGCCTATCCAGAGGAGGGAATCCGCGCCGTGCGCCCCAATCCGCCAGCCGCACCCCGGCAGCCTCCGCTCAGCGCCTCGCTGGGAAGGAGGGGCGCTCCTGCCCCGCCCAGCGGAGCCGCGGCTTACCTGGGACGCGACTGGAAGGCGCTCTGCACGTGCCCAGAGGCGCCCCGCCCCTCCGCCTGCGCGCTGGGCGGGGGGGTGGCGGGGAAGGGGAGGCTATATCGAAACCCAAAAGCAGCTCGCCCCAATTTCCGTAAGGGCCCCCCCCGCCTTTCTCTTAAAGCACGCCGCAGCCTTCTTTATACGCAGGAGCCTTGCGCCCCGCTTAGCCCCTGACCTGCGCCGCCTCCCTCTCACCTGCGCCCGACGTCGGAGCTGGGGACTCCGTAAAGAGCCGCGCTTCTCCCTCACCCGGTCAGCCCCTCCAGCCTTTCTCAGGAGAAATGGGCTGATGGGTGTTGCTGGTCTTGAGGTTACCGCAGAGCCCCCAGTCGTGATCCGTTGCCTCTCCCTGCCCCGGTGCCGTCGGGAAAGCGGTGCCGAGCGGCCCTCCGGCTCTCTGGCCGAGGGAGGGAAAAGCCACCACCGGCAGGCTGGGACCCGCCCCACGAGGTCTCTCCCTCCCCCGCCGGTCCTTGGCTGGAGTGAAGGGGCGAGACTGGAAGAGATGGAGAAGTCGGGCGCACTGGCGACCCCCCCCCCCGCCCCCCGGAGTTGCGCTCTGTAACCTCCGCAGTCTCTGGCCAAAACTGGATCTCTGCGCTCAGGAAACAAGTTTGCAGGGCGTCCCCAAGAGATGGGAGCAAGCAAGCCAAGAATCGCGGAGGCTGAGAAGGCCGGGCCGGGGAATCGCGTGTCTAAAGGCAAAGATTGTGGGTCTGCTCACATTTAATAAACTTCTGCAAAACTTCTGTTCGTTCTAGGTGGCTCGGCATGATATCTGACGCAGCCTTTGGACCCTTTGCGGGTCAATGGGTTCAGTTGATCCCGGGAATGCCTCGGTTCAATCAGGCGATTGTGTGAACGCAATCCCGTGTCTTCGGCTGCTTCTCTCCCTTCAAGTTCGAACTGCAGAAATTAAATCCGGGGAACTCCCTTTGACCGCCGAGGGAAACAGCAGCTCCTCTGAGCATCGGCCAAGTTTCTTCCTCTACTCGTTGTGCCTGGGGACTCCAGGAGAAGATTTCCCCCACCCACCCACCCACCCACCCATAAAGGACCCCCTCCCGGCCCTCACCTTCGCTCTCTGCCCTTTGCTTTCAAGGCTAAGCTAAACCGACGCTGCTGGTTGCGGGGGGACGGGGGACGTCGGGGAGGCCTCGCAGCAGAGCCAGGTGGAGGGGAGGCAGGCAGGTGCTGCCAGGCTGCTCGTGGTCGGGAGAGGCCGGAAAGGAAGGCGGCGGGAGCGGAGGAGCTTCTTCCAATTCCTTTAATATTGTATAAGAAGAGCGCTCGGAATGCGCCTCGCTTCCCTGCTTAGCTCATAAAAAGCTGCGCTGGCCCAAAGCCAGTCCAGTTGCTCTCTTCCTGTGGGAGGGGGGGGAGTGGGGAAGGGCCGGCAACGCCAGTCTCGAGACTGGCCGGCAGTAGAGATGGTGGAGGGGAGGGCAAGGCAAAGGAGGAGCCGGGCCCCAAAGCGAAGTGCCAGCACCCAGCAAATCGGAGGCCCAACAAAGCCCCGCACAACTGCAGAGGCTAAAAGATACTGGACTAAAATCCTCACGTGGTTGGAAAAAATGACCAAAAAAACATATAGACTTTAAATTAGAGATATTTTTATTGGGTATTTTACCGGAAATATACAGTAGAGAATTGAAATACTTGATTTTTAAATCTATTAGCAGCTGCTAGAATTGTATTTGCTAAGAATTGGAAAAATGAGAAAATACCAATGCAGGAAGAAGTTATAAGAAAATTATGGAATGTGCTGAAATGAGCAAATTGACATTTGAAATTAGAGAACAAGAAGACAAACAATATTATAAGATGTGGGATTTATTTTATCAATGGTTAGAAAATAAAATATGGTAATGAAATATTTTAGAGAATTTTACAATATAAGGATAATAGAATTATAGAGAATATAACATAAGGATGGATTATTGGATGGATTTATGATGAGGTAATGAATATAATATAAATTAATCTAAAATGTTGAATATCTCACCTAAAATGATGGAATAATAGTCATAGTCAAATAAATGATGAACAATGATAATATATATATATGGCTAATATGAGAATTTATACAAATTATAAGTGAGGACGATGGAGATGAAGCACAAAAGACTTGTAACCAACTGACACACTGTATGTAACTGGAAGGTGGTTTTATGTTTTGTTTTGTTTGTGTATGTTTAAAAAATAAAAATTCTTAAAAAAAAAAAAAAAGCCCCGCACAACTGCAAGAAGGAGAATCTCTTGGGGTCGTTTCCTGGCCTCTGGTTAAATCCGGGGGTTCGTTGGCGGCCCCCGCCCCAGTTCAGCCTCAGCCCGGGAAAGGCGGGCCTGGCGCGGCTTCCTGTGGAGCGAGGCCTTCGTCCTTCGAAGCAGGGCAGGAGGGCCGGGCCGGACGGGCGGGACGCCACGGGGCTCCCCTCGCGTAAAGACCCCCGACCTCCCCCGCTGCCTTCCCTTCGCTCCAGCCGCTCGCGGGCCGAACAAGGACGGTTCCTAGATGATGCCGGGGCCCGAATGAAGCAGGGAGCCAGAGCCGCCCAGTCAGCGCTTGTAATACATGCATTTATTCGGGGGGGCGGGGGGGGGGGGGGGGGTGCTAGGGGCGGGGGAGCGTGGCGGGGCTCCCGGGCCCACCTCGGGGGACTGCGGAGACGCTGCCAAACGCCCCCCCCCGCCCCCCCCCCGGTAAATTCTGGGCAAATCCCCTCGGCTTCTCCGCATCGCGTCTGGCCTCTCGGCGGGTCAGCTGCCTCGCCCAGGAACAGCAGCCCGGCTTCAGAAATCGGCGCGGGGAGGAACCTCCTCGAAGCAGCCGGCCGGAGGACGCCCGGATATACCGGCCCACTCAGGCCCTTGGTCCCCCGGGGGGCCTCTGCCTGGCGCAGAGCCTCTCCCCCCCCGCGCCCAGCGGCTCCGACTCTCGCCTCGCAGGTCTGGAGCCCCCCTCCCGCTCCCGGGGATTTCCTGGTGGCCTTTCATCCCCGGGCGAAGGCTGGCACCCGGGTCCGCTGTGGCCAAGCCCGGCGGCTCCGCAAGCAGCCACCGGAGGGCGCTGCATTTCCACGCCGGACCCGCGAGCGGCCGAAACGGGCTGGGCAGTTCTTTCAAGCGGCGATCCTGCGGGACGAGAGCCCCCCCCCCGCAGCCCCTCCCAATCCGGGCCCGGGAAGCCTCCCGGCGGAAGGGGTCCGGGCGCGGCTTTAGCCTGTGCGGGGCGCCGCCTTGGAGACCATTGAAGCAGAAGGGCGGGGACCCCTCCAAGATGCGCCCCCCGTCGACGGGAGGACCCCCGGTGCGGAGCCGCCCAAGGAGGCGCGCCACGTGCGGGGGGGGGGCGGGCAGGGGGCGACCGGTTGCTTTGCCAGCCCACGGCTGCTTCGGTCAAGAGGCGAGCCGGTTCCGAGGCTGGAGGCGACGGGAGGCTGAAACCCATTTGGCCCCAGGGACGCTCTTTGCCTCTTCCGATTTCCCCACTGCCTCCCCAACTTCGCGTGGGCCCAGTTCCCATCATCCCCTGCCAACCCATCTACTTGACCATGTTTCTCCACCTTGACAGCTGGAAGAGGTGTGAACTCCCAGAATTCCCCAGCCTGCTCTGCTCTGGAGTTCTGGGAGTTGAAGTCCTCATCGCTTCCAGCTGTCCCGGTGGAGACGTATTGATGATCTAGGGGATGATGGGAGTTGCAGTCTGGAGTCTGGTTTGCTTCTGCCGGGCCAAGGGGCTGGGCTGCCGTTGCTCAGGGGGGCAGCAGGTGCCCTTTGTGTGACCTCAGCGGCTTCAGACAGAGCCTGCTGTGCCCAGAGCCAGGCCCCCCCTCCTCCCCCCCCACTTCTCGGTTGGCAATATGCAGACCAGATTGGTTCATTCCTTAGCCTCCGATGGCCAAAGTAGGCGGGGCAACCTGGCTTGGCTGCCTGCATCAAACCCAGTTCTGGAGGTGATCTGTGGATCCCACCAAGGCCAGGATTCCTGAATCCAGCTGACTGGATGAGCAATCATGGAAGGGGCACAGATTATGGGTATAGGTTGGGGGGGGGGGGCTCTTCCTTCTCCTGCACCCAGAGCCCAGAAGGCCGTTCTCAGCCGCTCAGAGATATTTTGATCTCTTGATACCTTATATATTTTTAGACCTTGAGGCTTCTGCCTGACAAACAAGCAGAGCAGGTAGAGGGTCCCTTCTGGAATAGAGAGAGCGGGGGTGGGGGGTGGGGGGTGGGGGGTGGGGAAGAGAAACAGAGAGGACAATCGGGTCTCTGGATGCGTTCAGTAGCTTCTCTCTGCTGCTCTGCCTTCCTGGCACGGGACCCTGCAGCCTCCCCTCCTTTTGAACTCCTGAGTTGGAAGGGACCTTGGAGGTCTTCTAGTCTAACCCCCTGTTCAACAGGAGAACCTACGTCGGGGGTGTCCAATTTGGAAACTTTAAGATTTGTGGTGTCCAAGATGTAAATATACAAACATCATCATTGTCATAATGATCATATACATAAAAACAAATATGATAACACCGATCATATTACAACATATATTATCTTCCATTATAGTATCGATTTTATCCATCAGAAATATTTACTCATCTGTTTTTCTTTCTCCTATCAACCATATTTCCCCTAATTCCTCTAACCTCGATATCTGCCATTTAACCATTTCTAGAATAGTTCCCGGGTTATGAAGTAGTCCGGTTCTTCTTTTCCTTGAATTTGGGGAGTTAACCTGTCCACTTCTGCATATTGGCAAGGTTGGACGCTCTTGTCCCATCGCATTCTGGACACCCGGCTGTCCAGCCTCTTCTTCTTCGACCCCTGCAGTGCTGGAGCCCCCCCAATGTTTGAAGGCCCTTCCGTCGATTCCTCCTTCCCCCGCCAGGGAATTCCTGCTTCCTCCCTGATGAGTTTCCATCCA